TGGCCTTTACCTGAGTACAAGAAGACCCTCAAGGTTCCTGGAGCAGAGGAGGAAGGAAAGCCACGCATTGGGCAGTAAGTCTCAGAGCAATGGGCGGGGGAAGCAGGACAAGGAGAAAGAGAGAGGCTACAGAACACTAAAGGGTGGTGCAGAATGCCAGCCTGGGTGGAGAGGCAGTGGAAGTGGAAAAAAGAGAGAGGGATGAGAAGGCAGCTCCCAAATCCCTTCCCTGCTTCCTCCTTTCTCTGAATTTACTAAATGAACGTCATCATAGATGTCATTCACTCAACATTGGTTCAGCATCTGCTGCGCTCCACACACTGTTCCAGGTGCTGGGAATACAGCGGGGAATAAACGGATAAAATCCCCTGCTCTCCACGAGCTGACATTCTAACAGAGAGAGACAGATGAAGAACAATAAACATACTAAGCACATTATCTAGTGTGAGAGAAGGTTCGATAGTACAAAGTAAAACAGCAAATAAGGAGGATGAGGCAGCTTTAAATAGGGTTCAGGAGACGAGAGAGACACTTGGAGGTGTCCCACTCCCACTAAGAGAACATGATCTTCACTCTGTCTTTCATGCAGGAACAGATATGCTGTGGCAATCTGTGGTCATGCTGTGGTCATTCTTTCAATAAATGATTCAATAAGCAAAAGAGGAGGGGGCCTCAAAATCCCAGCCATTAAAAAGAGCAGGAACAGAGCTTTGTTTGCTTTGTTTGCTCACTTGCTCTGTCTCATCTAGCATTGTGTGAGCACTCAATAAATACGTATTGAAGCAAATCATTCATTCATAACCAATAACTTAATTTAGGAGAACAAAGATACTCCCCATGACTTCCCACTTCCCTATAAGTACCAAACTTGAAACAATTTATCACAGAAACAAGATTGGAGGGTTTATTAAGACTAAACATACCACTGATAATATAACCAGAACATGATTTCATGTTTGCATTTTCCCTTCCAGCCCTTGTCTGTATGCACAGCGCAGGTATGATTTAGTGTGTTGTAATCACAAATGTGTGGTTTTGAGGTTCGGTTTTTTCCATTTATCATCATGCTGTAAGCATTTTTCTTTGGCATTCATAGTCTTCATAACTGACGTTGATGATGGACGCATGGGGCCACTTATTCTCAGACTGCCAACCACAGCAAGGTTATTTTCAGTATCACTAAATTCTACTACGCCAGACCTCAGGTGGGCTCCATAGCTCAGTGGTTAGAGCACTGGTCTTGTAAACCAGGGGTCGCGAGTTCGATCCTCGCTGGGGCCTCCTCCTATTTTGAACTTTTTTTTTTTTTTAACCACAGTATTTAAATACAAAATAGAAACTCCAAACTAGAAAAAGTGGTATGTGAAAACGTTACTTCTGGCCGGATTAAAACCCAGTCCTACTCAAATGCAGATAATGAACACCCTTAATGTGCTTTAGAAGTGACCCGGAAGAGAAAATCCTGGAGCCCAACAAAAAGCCGGGGCGCGAGTAGAACAGCTCGCTCTGCAGCCCCCGTACGACCCGGACCTGCGGGCCGGAGCGTCGGAAATGGCGGCGTGAGGCTCCTCCGGCTCGTTTCCGCGCTCCGCACACGGAGACCGTCCCCGCGTTACAAACGGAAGCGCGGGCGGCGGCCCCGGCGTAACCCGACGGGCGAGCGCGGCGGCCACGGCGGCGCTGCGCCTGCGCTCACGCCGCGCGGCCGGCGGGCGGCGCTGTGGTGCCGTGTCCCGTCGCGTCCCCCGGAAGCCGGCGGGGGAGCGTCTCCGCGCCCTTCCGGCCGAGTGGCCGGCGTGGTCTGGACGCGGCCGGCTGTGGCTGACACGTGGCAGCCGCGCGTCGCAGCCCAGCCCCCTTGCGAAGCGGCTCCCAAAAATAAACGGCCCCGGGCTGCCGGCGAAGCCCGTGTTCGCAGCTTTCCCTCCTCTCCGTTTTCTTCCCCGAATTCCAGGTGCGCGTGGCTGCGAGTCACCAGAGGAGATGCCAGGAGTCTCTTCTGACACGCGAATCTCCCAGCTCCGTATTTCTCCTCCCAGACCCCAGCGCCAGAGCTTGGCAGGGCGGGTGAGGCGGCCACGGGGAGCTGGAAATGAGGCCTGTCTGAATTGAGATGCGCTGGAAGGGTCAAATACGTGTCGGATTTAGAAGACTTGGACCCAGAAAAAAGCATGTGAACTATCTCGGTCGTAATTTTTTAATGGATGACACATTGGAGTGATAAGATTTTGGATTTGTTGGATTAAGTAAAATATATAATTACAATTAATTTTACCTAGTTTTTTAACGTGGCAACCAAAGAATTTTAAATTACATCTGCGATTCCCATTTGCAGCTCTCATTATCTTTCTTCTCTTTTTTTCTCTTTTTTTTTCTTTTTGCTCTCGTCATCTTTCTGTTGGGTAGTGCAGGTGTAGGGAACCAGAGTCCTGTGACCTTGTGTTCAAGTTAATTCTTAACCAGGTTCACACCGGTAAACTGGTAGGCAGAGAACGTCTTTTTCATCTAAGTCTCCCCCAGAACCAGCACTTTGCCTGGTAAACAGTATTCGTTGAGGTGAAATTAAGCATCCCCCCAACATAGTCTTAAACTCTACAAAGAGCAAAGGAAGGTATTTCTTAAACTGAGTTAGCTTTGGGAGTGATGCGACTGCAAGACTCTAATTTGGCTTGCAAGACTTTAGGTCTGGAGACCTCATACTTTTGTTGGTCTTTTGCCTCTCTGTGGTCAGGATACCTGCTGCTAGGTGAAGTGTTCAGAGTGCCTTGAGGAAATAGGACCCACTGATGCAAGAAAAATACCTGTAATTATCACAAAAGTATCAGCCTTTCACTAACACCGAATGCCTTTTGGTAAAGCCATTTCAGATCCTTGAATACCTTAGTACCGGGACTACTTACTGGGACTTACTTGGTCATCAAGGAACAGCCATAGTAAGAAAGAGAAGTCTCTAAAGCATTCTAATCCCATCTCCCTCCAGCCATTACCAGTCCTTGTTGTTTCTCCCCATTCCCCTGACACCAGCTGGTCTCTAAGAAGAGCAGGGATGTACATGTGTGTATTTTTCAACTTTCTGAACTTTTCAACACCTTAGGCTATAAGGAAGATGAATATGTTTTGGCTTTACTATGCCCTAGAGATTTTCTGAGAGTCCTAGCGTCTTCCATGAAAGCTCACTGGCATCACCGGGCATCTTTCAGAAAATAGAGCCACTTTTCCAGAGAGAAACACTCTGCCCCTCCCCCAGCTTCCCAGCCTTTCAGAGTTCCGGTCAGTTCCCGGCTCCAGACTCACCGGCTACCCTCCTACAAAAAACCTGTGTTCAGAATGCCCTGAATTTGGTGGGTGTGCTCCTTGATACATAAATTCTAAACACTTTCCCCCAGCTCAGACATTTCAGGCCAGACTGTATTTTTGCCACATGTCTTTGAAGAAAGCCCGTATGGACAAAATGAGTGAGCGCAAACATTTGGTCCAGAGGTTGGACCAAACTCTCCAAGCTGACCCAGGATCTTCAGCCATCTTTCAACAAAATGATCCAAGGTTTAATCCCCTCCACCTTTACATTGATTATCTTCATCTGTGAAGGAGCTAAAAGACCCTGAAGTTCATTTCTGTCCTGGAGAGTATTCTTAAGAGCTACACAAAGGTAGGTAAGGGAAAAAAAACACACACCTACGAGAAAGGCAAAGGCAGAAGACTGAAAGATGATCTAAAAGTGATCAGAAAATGATGACCCATGTTTGGCATCTTCCATAAAGACAGAACAAGAGGAAAAGAATCAGAGAGGCTTGATGGATTTAGGTTAGATTCGGTTGGGTTAGGTTACCTGAAGAAAAAAGGTGGAATCCGCTTCTATGAAAGTCTTAAAAAAAATCTGCCCAGAGTATATCCAACCTTATCTAAAGCAGAGAACACATGACCTTAAAAAGAGAGCGAAATGCGGTTCTTAGGCAAGTGTGGCGAGGCATGCTAGGTTTCCTAATGTCACCCTAAAATGCAGCTCTGGTATTTTATGCTTTTGTTCTCCTTAAACCAAATTGCCCACTATTCTGGATGCTTTGTGTAATATGGAGAACTTGATGAAGACAAGGCTCATTTCCTCTCTTAGTTCTTAATTCCTCAAATACCTGGTTCAAAAGTCACATTCCTTCACTGAGGCCTCCAGGGAGGCAGGTGCCTCTCAACAGCTTGAGAGGAGGCATCGACTCAAGGCCAGCTGAGCTGTCCCTGCTCCCTCACCACTGTGGTCATGTCACTTCATCTCCCAAAGCCTCACTTTCCTCATCCTCAAGGGAGGTTACTTAGCAATAAGAAGCCGGGCTCGGAGGTTTCAAGATGATGTACCAACTTGGCACATCATAGGTAGTCAAATAAAATATAGTTAAATTTACTATGCTACTTGCATTATAAGGCCAAACAGTAGGTGCTGGGGGTACAGAAGTGAACCTGCTCTTGTTCAGGTCATGAACTTCGGCCTGGGGAAAGGAGATAGCATTTTTAAAGGGCTTTTCCTTGGTCACAGGCCTCCTCTTAGATCTGGAAGTAATCAGGAGAGTAAAGTGCGGAACAAGCGTGGTGAGGCATGCTAGGATTCCTTATGTCAGACAAATATCCAGGAGATCAAAGGAGCAAATGTGGATTTATTACCTCAGGTCCTAGGCATTTACAAGGCAAAATGGAGACCCCCGGGCGATTCCAAGCAGGTTTACAGAGTAGTGCCCACGATAACCCAGGGGCACTGGCAGTGTGGGGTGCGGTCACCCTGTAGCAGCACTGCATACAGACAGGGTGCCTTGGGTCATTCAGGAGACAGCAGGATTTCTCTGAGAGAGAGAGGAAAACCACGGGGTCCTCTCTGCCTGCCCCTCCTCCACGCCAGCTTCCCGGACTGCTCAGGTCCGTGTCCAGCTGCAGCTTGCACTTGGAGAGGTAGTGCTCCTCCCACGCTGCGGGCCACCTCAAGCTAAAGGTCAAGGGAGACTTCTGCCAGCTCGCCTCTACTCTGCCGGCTGCCTCATCCTGCCACTGTGGCCTTTCAGGCTCTTCCTCTTCTTCCCCTGGGGGCCTGGGGACCTCATCCCGGCTCTCCTCTTTGGAACAGGTCCTTGCAAGGTTTTCTTGCTGCTTGTGGGAGAAGCCAGCTTCTTGGCCGAGCCTTTCTGGGACGAAGCCTGGGCTGGGCTGGACGCTACGGTTGCATTGGATAATTTTCTAGCACCTTTCTCCGATTGCTCCTTTAGCAACTCCAAGACTGTCTCTGAGAAATAAGCATTCATTTAGTGAGAAATATAAGTCCTGGAAAGTAGCTATAAGAGAAGCACCACCCAGGAAACCTATAATTGCATGAGCCTTCTCTAATATAAATTCTTTTTATTTATACTTTTTAATTCCCTTAACTGGCCTTGATCTAAATATATTATTCTTTTAATAGGGTCACTCCAATGATACATGGCTCTGGAATAGTTTCCTTAAGATAGTATCCCTCCTCTGTAAGTCTTTCCCGACTTCCCAACCTACCCAGAGGAAGAATTCCTCACTCTAGGGGCCCTCTCAGGGCCCTGGACATCCTTCTATACCCGAACCTCGGTGCTATTTCTTTATCTGCCTGCACATTCGCACCCCTCCCATTTGACTCAGAACTCCTAGGTCAGAGACTTCAAGTGTTCGTTGCTGTGTCACCAGGACCTAGCACAAGTGAGTGCCACAAGTGAGTACTAAGTGAATGATGGGAAGTAAATGAATGCATTCATGATGGATGAATGAATGGAAGCAGGTGTCCCTCCCCCTCATTCTGGCATGTGGAGGACAGGTATAGACTGAGCCACAAGTGACAATCCTCATCCAAAAGCCCACTCCTCAGGGAGGATCTAAGACTCCCCTCCGGGGACTGTAGCGTGTTTGCTGAGGGCTCTGCCTGCACCTCAACACGGAGGCATCAGTGTAAGACCCAAAGACGGACTCACTGGCAACTGGCCTGAACTGGATTCTCTTGCTCTTGGTTTTCACCGGCGCCGCCTTGTGTTTGCACTTGCCTGGGGGTGCTCTCCTGAAAAGACACGCAGCAAAGGTGAGGACACGAGACTCTGGCGATGCGACCAGGACATCAAGGCCACCAGAAGGCACACATTTGCAAGCATGGGGCTCAGCCCTCACTTATCCACGGGGACTGGGTAGAGGTAGTGGGAAACGTGCTGTGGGCTCAGGAGAGGCAGAAGGACACAGACACCACCAGGCATCTCAGGCCCTTGAGAGGAGCTGGGCACAGTGCCGTCAGGAATGGCTCCACACCCTGGGGACAGGGAGCAAGAAAACCTTGCTGAGGCTCAATTCCTGCATCTATAAAATGCAAAAACGAATAGTACCCATCTCGCAGGGAGATGGCGAAGATTAAACGAGAGCTGTGTTCCCGACACCCCATAAATGATTGACAAAGAATGCGATTTAAACAAAAACAACACACACCCCCTCGGAACCGCGCCCAGAACATAACGAGCTCAGTGGACGATGATGATGACGACAATGATGATGATTCTGCTGCTGCTGCTGGTGATTCCTTTTAAAGGAAATTTCTTTGAGAACCCGCAGCACAGCCCTGAAGTAACGCCAGCCTCCTGCCTAGCAGCCACTCCTTAAACTGCCTGTCGTCTGGGTGTGCTTTCTGAAATAAGAGGGACTTTGGAGACTGAGAACTCCCACTGGACAGAGCAGAGCTGAGGCGTCCCGGCCAGCCCCGCGGCCCTCTCTGCCTCGCTGCAGCTCTCGCACCGCCGTCGCCCTCGCCTCAGGTGGGGGAAGCCATTCTAGTTATTCAGTAAGCACCTGTGAAGTGCATAGGCACCATTCGAAATGCTTTATAAATGTTAACTCATTGAATCTTCATAACAAGTCTACGAGGTAGGTGCTATTATATTATTGACCCCATTTTACAGAGGGGAAACTGAGGCACACACAGGCTAAGAAACAGGCCCCAGGTCACACAGCTAGTCGGTGGCAAAGCCAATATTCAAACCCAGGCTCCAGAGTCCGTGTTCTCAGCCACTATATTTAGTCGTCTCTAAAGGAAGGGCAGGAGGGGAAAATGATACATAAATCAATCCACTGCCCTCACAGTGCTGGGAATGGTGCATTCAGTGCAAAGACGGACGAGTGAGTGAGCCGCGCAGTCTGGTCTGCAGCCATGACGCTTTGGAAAGTCCGTGTGACTCCCCGCAGCTGTGGCTGAGCCGACGGGGCAGCACCGACGTGACTTCGATCCACAGAGAACCGAGCTCCTGCTCTGGGCCCCTCCTAGTAGCTGTGCCTTGTCGAGGGCTCCGGTTTCTTTATCTGTAGATTGAGGATGTGAACCTGCCCCTTTGGGGCCCTGTGCGCACTGAACGGGAGCTGCGCACAGCGGCAACTCAGTGCACGACCACTTGAGAGAAAGGTGACCGAGAAGAGATGTCTTCAGTGTGGAAAGGCTTTACAGTTGCTTTCTGAATGGCCTCTCTTGGCTGCTCCTGGGGAAAGGGGGAGTTAACTTATCCCCTAACAAAATGAGGAAGCTGCCAAAGGAAAGAAAAATGGATTCACACAGCAAGGCTATTAGTGGAAAGAGAATTCCCCACCAGGTGTTATCAACCACCTGAAGCACTTGAAATCCCCTGGGGCTGCTCCACCCCTAAGCACAGGAGACAGGGCACAGCAGACCTGCGGGGACAGCTCAGTAGCAAGCGCACCCCTGGGCAATGTGAGCTCTTACCATCAGCACAGCACCCAGGCACAGCTTCTTCCAGGAACTCCTGAGCATACAACCCAGAGCCAAAAGGAAACTGAGCTGCGCCTGCCCCGGCCCCTGAGCCCTGACCGGGGAGTGGACCTATTTGCCCAGCGACTACTGAACACCAGTCTGGTTATGGGGAACATAAGCCTCAGAGGGAAGTTTTCCTCTGTGGGTCCATCTATGAGCTAATTCATGGGGAGAATGTCTTGCTTTGGGCAAGAATCCCAAGATAAACCTAGTGCACTGTGCAGACTCCCCAGATGGACACACTGCATCACCCTCCCAGGGACAGATAACAGGACCCAGACACAACAGCCTCACAGGTGGGAAGATTCCATCTGCTCTGTTGGAGTTTGGTTAGCCCCTGACAGAGGTGGGCACAGAAGCAGAAACAAACAGAGTCCACCAAGTGAATAAACACTGAATTCCAGAAAAGATCAGGTGGGGATGCTGAGAAACCTGGTAGTTTAAGTATTTGCCAAAGACCTTGAGATGTCAACCAAGCCCAGGAGACAGGGCAGCCACACTTACCCAGTGGTCAGAGGTGTGCACCTGCTGTTAGATGACTCCAGACAGAAATATCCAGAAGTATATTTAAAAAAAAAAAAAACAGAACAGGAGCCAGACACCTAGACTGGTCATCCTGGAAAGGATCAAGAGTCTCTTTTGCAGCTGCAAAGAGACCATTTCCCAAACATCTCATAATTGCTATAGCTACGTTGTTCTGTACAGTCGTTTGCCCAAACTGCTTTTCATCTGGAGCATAGATTTGCTTCACTGGTACTCTTTGGTAATTCTTGGGGAGTGAGGACTGTTTTTATGACCTGCCATAGAGACAAGGACTAAGGAAAATGCACCTGGGAAGGCAATGACACCAGATCTCACCTTGAGGGGTCCACAAATTTGTAGATAGATCCATGTGGCGAGTAGGCACTTGGGTAAGAGGTGGCCAGGAAATACAGCTCCCCTAAGGAAACAGGAGTAGACAGCAGTCACAGGACATCAGGCAGGGCTGAGATTCACAGCTGGATGCACAGAAAAAGTCAAAAGAAAGTTAGACCCCTAAATTGCAGTGAGCCCGGCGGATGGAACCTGGGAACTGATAGCCAGGCCCTCATCGGACTGCACATGTACGTTTATTGGACCAAACACTCCTCTCCTTATCACCCCTTCGCTCTCAAAACCTTCATCTCCATGAACCTTCGCTTCCTTCCCCACCTCTCTCCTGCTGACGGGGATTCTCTGTGAACCCCTGGAAACAGGCAGTCTGCAGGCTGAGGACTTGCCAGTTGCTTTATTTTGTCCCTTATTTAGTCCTTTTGTCTCCCCTGAGCCTCACTCTCTCCTTTTCCTCTTTCATCCTCATTTCCCTGTGACCCATCCACTCTTCAACCTCTCCTCTCCGTCTTCCCCACGCCCCGCAAAAATCACCCCACCCACTCTCTGTTGTATCTTTAGAAAGAGCCCAGCCTCTTCACAATTCTTCCTGTCTGAGCTCCAGAAAACGTTGCTCCTTTCTGGAAGTAACTACCTCATTCCCCCTTGCTCTACAGTTATCTGCCAGGGGCAGTATGGTATAGTGTCGGGTTATGAGCCCCAACTTGAGAGTTAGAGAAGTCTAGGTCTGAATTCCAGTGACAGCAGTTACTCTCTCTGTCATCTTGGGCAAGCTCTTCGCCTGTATAACCCTTGAGATATTTATTCCTTTGTAAAATAGGGGTCACGACGCCTCAAGCGATTGTTGAGTATCAATTAGAAAGTGTTTAGTACGGTGTTACTATTACTTTCCTATCACTCTACTCCTCAAGCAGCTCTGTGAACCTGGCACAATGTTTGTGCAATTGCACTGAATTAAATTCACTTGCTCTTGTGTACGCTACACAACCCTTTCTCAATTTTATGGAAGAAGATGTCTATTAAGTTGCAAATTTGAAAAACCTAGAGATTTATATAGCTCCGGGTTATTTATTTTTTCTTAGAGAGACAGTTCACTCTGTCGCCCCGGCTAGAATGTAATAGTGTCATCATAGCTCACAGCAACCTCAACTCCTGGGCTCAAGCAATTCTCCTGCTTCAGCCTCCCGAGTTGCTGGGACCATGGGTGTGCGCCACCACGCCCAGCTAGTTTTTCTGTAGAGATGGGGTCTCAAACTCCTGACCTCAAGCAATCCTCCTGCCTCAGCCTCCCAGAGTGCTACAATTACAGGCTTGAGCCACCAAGCCTGGCCCAGCTCTGGGTTATTTAAACAACTGCTTTCTTCCTTGAATGTGTAGAGAGCAGTGACCAGCGTTTGTCTTGTGCGAAATGTAAGGCTCACGGTCTTGCAGAGCCCTACACAGGGTAACAGCTGCCTCACAAACTAGGGTGTATCTGACAATCTATGTTTATAATCTTCCCCAACCAAGAGGTCTGAGGAGTTAGGACACACCCTACCCTAGAGTCAGTTTGTCCTGACTGACGCCATTCACAGTGATTCTACTATTAGATGAACAAGGTGTCTACCAAGGGCCAGTGTCTACGCAGGTAACTCTCACACAGGGAACCCTCCAAACCACACAGAGGCCTTCTTGGTCTGAAAAGAGATTGAAAACCCTGCCTTGCTGCATTTTCCCCATACGTGACTGCAGTTTGCATAAATTACACATTTTCCACATGCCATAGACCTTCCATTGTATTTTTAAGAGAAAACCATGCTAGAGGTGAATTTTATCTGTAGTGTCCAACTGGTATTTTTAATATATATTTAGAGGGGAACAAAAAACTACAATATACCATGTAAAGCAGAAATGCAAGCATTGATTTGGCCAACCCTCTTGGGAAAGGGCTTCAGTGACCAACATTCAGAATCAATCGATCGAACCTTGCAGTGGGCAGCTCCGTGCCAGCCCCCGCCCGGCAGTTTGTTCAGCCCAGCTGCCACTCCAAGAGCTCAGCGAGTAGGCTGCAGCCACGGATCAGGCAGAGTTCAGGTTCCAACTAAAAAGTGACTTACCTAAAGCCAGTGACTGATAATTACATAATGAAATGATACTCAGATTTAAAAATGTCTCTAAGAGGGAAAGAATATGTAAAGAGTAGAAAACACAAAAGCAAGCGACTCTGGGAAAAAAAATAACTAGTTTTGGACACAGCCTCACTGGCTTTAGGTCTTCCCTCGGGCAAAGGCTTGGGAACACCTTGGCAAGTTCACTCTATAAAATCCAGCCAAGGACACTTGGGTTTGTTTGCCAGATGTACTCACTGGTTTTTCAAAAACTGCCTGTTTTGCACTGTGAGGAGTCTACAGGCACAACACACCAAACCACCAAAGCCGGGGTTTCTGTGGCTCCCTGAGGAGGAACCAGCCACAGAAGGTGGCAGCCCAGGGTGCGTGGGGGACCAGCCGGGGAGAGGCCCACGTGGCCCGCAGCTTTCACATCATGCACCTCCCACGGAGCACCATCTTGCCGGCCTGTGGTCTCTCTCCTTTTTCGTATGTTTAGACTTGCAGCTGGCACTCATAGACCTTTTCCCATTACGAATGCTTCATTTTCCAAAATACCCTCTACTCCTGCAAAACGTTCATCTCCATCTGCTCCTCAGCTAACTGACAGGAAGTGGCCAGGAGCTGCCTGATGTCCTCACAGCCTGCTCAAGCACAGGTCCAGCGCAGCCGCCGTGGCTCACGGCAGAAAGAGATCGCCTAAGCGGGAGCTCGTCTAGGCTCTGGCTGTGCCTGCAGAGACTCCTGGGTCTGGAAGGGACCCTGAGAGGCCATTTCATTTTCTTCTTTGCCTCCTAAGCATGGTGAGATCTAGTGCCAAATCCTGAAAGATCACTGTCCTCACTTAAACAAAATAAAATGTATTTAAAATTGGAAAACTCTTATCTTTCAAAATGAAACACAATGTATGTAAAGCTGAAATTAAAAATCTGTTTTCTGATTACAAAATTTTTGGAAATTTATTAGAGAGCCAAGTCTCTTTCTTTCTCTCATGCGCACATGCGCTTATGCCTTGCTTCACTGATTCCCTTACCGTGTGCCTAGTCTAGCGAGTGACCTCCTACCCAGCTGACTATGCCTTTCTCAGATTGCTCAAAAAATAAATTCCCCCTTGATCACCAACTCTTGGCAGGGCCTGGAAAGAGCCTAGCCCAACCAGCATGATGATCGTCAGAGATACGCTCTCCAGGCAACACCAGCGGGATAAACACCCACCGCCTGCTCAGTCTGGCCCGCTGCTTGCCCTGTGCGTGTGCCCGTGACTGTGGTTGAGAACAGATTTGCTCCTCACGGTGAGTTGTGTGGTTCCACCGAGAAGGTGTAGGTTGGCACATTCCGTCTGTTTCCTCGCTGGTGAAATGAGCATAATTATATCATGGGAGTGTTGTGACTGCTAACTAGGAGAAAAATGTAAAGTTCTTAGAACAGTATGCAGTGTGTTATAAGAGATGACTAAGCCACAGTGACATGAGCAGACGTGGTGATGGCTATTTACATAAACATGCAGTCAGTGCCTGTGATTGTTGGCGTTCAGTGAGCAGAAATCGAGTCACCTGCACGCCTCTTACCTGCTTCGTCTTCGGCGAAGGAGATGATGAACTTGCTATAGGTGCCGGTCAGCCCTGGCAAGGCACAGGATGTGGTGCCGCCCACGCAAATGTCCCGCTTCTTCCATTTCTTGGTTTCTCTATCTTCCTGCAAAGCCATAAGTCGACTAGATGAAAAGTAAAAACTTATATTTTAGGAATCCATATTTCCACTCTGCAGGACTCTTTTTCTCCCAGGATAAGGGATCCTGAGTACTAGGACTGGGTCTCCCATTAAGACATCAGTAACTAGCCTCCCCCCAAGAACCGAAAGCTCTGCTTCCGTCGCCCACTTGCCCTGGGCGGGGCAGCTCATCTTCTGTTATAAAAGGAGTCTGGTGCTCTGCAAAGGGTGCACCGCTGCAAAAGACTGATCCTATTTCTGTTTGCTGTGTGACCTTTGGCTAGTTACCCGACATCTCTAAGCATCAATTTCCTCATCTGTGATAACATAATTTGCCATAGGGGACAGTTGCAAAGGTTAAATAAAATAATAAAAATAAAGATCTCATCAATGTGCGTGCCACATAGTAAAGACTCAAAAACTGCTGGCTGTTATTACTATTATTAGTATTATGTCTATATGTCTGTATAGTAGCAGATAGATACATCATATCGCTCTACCATATATCTGAACTAAAAGCAGGTTTTTAGAAGAGAAGGGAAAGGAATTAGGTAAATCCAGGGTGCTCACCAGAATCACCTGGAAAGTTGTATGGAAACAGAGATACCCAAACGCAGGTGATCCTGATGAATATTCTCAATTAAGAATCACGGCAAATTAACCAAGTGTATGTATGGGGGTAGGGTGGTGAGTGAGGGCTATGCAAAAAAAAAAAAAAAACATAATAATGAAATCCCAGATATCTAATAAGTATTAGCAAAGGAACTGACCAATTAGTAACTCCCCTGATGTCTGTAACCGAGAATTGCAGCATGAAAATATAACATCCTTTCTAACTAAGATGGAGCCAGAGTTACCCTCCCATCCCAAACAGTCAAAAACCTGCACAAAATTGAACAGCAGTGGCTTAAAAGACAAGAAAGGTCAGTCAATGTAGAAGTGTGTTCTCTGAGAGCTGGGAAGCAAATGAGGTGAGCCCTGTAATTGTACTACCTTGGCAGAGTTTCCAACAAGTTAGGGAAAAGATCGACAAAGCCAAGTGGCTGAGAAGACACTGCTGAGAGTCCAGGAAGACCATGGAAGCACGAGTTTGCAGGGCAGATATGGGAGAGAAGAAAACTGCCCAGAGCGTGAACTCCAGGGATCTGTCTGCAAAGGGCCCCCTCAAGTCGTCATCAGTACACGCAACAGCAGACACATGTGAGGAAACTGCCTGACAGCAAGGAAAGAATTAGAGAAAAACTACTTGCACTTAGAGCCAGGAATAGTGTGAGGATCATGGGGCACTGGTAGAGTTCTCAGGACGTTGTGCCTCAGTAGTGAGGAATAGAAAGTTCTAGAAAAAGCACCACTTTGGTCCTGCTTAACAAATATTAATAACAAGCCCTGAAAGGATAAAACTATTTCCAAGTAATTTAACTGTGTCCCAGAACAAAACTCAAAAATATTTATAGAAATACAAAACTATAAAACATTGTAGCCATTTTATTCACAATATTCCCAAACTGGAAACAGTCAAAGTATCCATCAACAACATGGAGAAAGGATGAACAAATTGTGGTACAGTCATACAATTGAATATTAAAAGCAATAAAAAGACAAACTATTGATACATGCAACAACATTGATGAATCTCACAGACATTATTGAATTAAAGAAGCCAGGCACAAAAGAAGAGTACATACTTTATGATTCTATTTATATATAAAGTTCCAGAAGCAAAACTAATTTGTGGTGAAAGTGGTTATCTCTGACTGGAGTGCGTGTATGCATGTGTTGGGGGTGGGGGAAGGATGGTACTGACAGGCCATAGGCAAGAAGGAACTTTCTAGGTGATGGAAATGCTCTGTGTCTTGATAAGGTTGGTGGTAATATGAGTGTATACATTTGTATACAACTGTACTCTTAAGAGATTGTATTTCACCATATGTAAGTTTTATCTCAATAAAAATGCTAAAATAAGAAAAGGAGAGGGGACATCAACCCTTCCTTACCCACTCATGAAGTCCCCAAAGATGTAGAGGCCATTGAGATTTGGTGATTCACACCCCCGGTAGACATATCCTCCAGTGACTGACTTCCCCACTGCATGACCATAAGCGTAGATTGGCAGAACGTCATCTGTCCAGGAGCAAGGAAAGAGAGTGTCATGGCCAAAAATTGGGATCATCAAGGAAGAAGAAGGGGGCTTTTTAATGCAGTTGCCTGATTCAGGGAGAAACACTTTATCTCTTGGTCTTCAGCAGGACAGGCAGTCAAGCGAATCATGTTTGTTTTTCTCAGTGGGCCAGCCACAGTCCATGAGAGCTTCCCATTTGACTGTTATCTGCAGTCAGAGAGGAAGCCAAAATCCCCCCACTTACGAGGTAATGACCTGGAAATCCACACATTACGCTTTCCCCCTGGATTGACATGGCAGATACTCAGTCTTAAGGATATGCAAAATATCGTGAGGGTATGTAAGACTGCTTCGTAACTTAGAGGACAAAAGAGACTAAGCAATGGTGATACAGTCAGAACACTGCAATTTTGAGCAGTCATTTCACTGGGCTGTCCCAACTGGGAAATACATGAAAACATATGGCCACCAATTTTGCTCTGCCAGTGGTTCTCAAAATAGTATGCCTAAAAATCACGTGGGTGAATTATTTAAAATACAGATACTTAGGTCAATCCTGTTCCCCCAATCCACCCAAAATTGAAATTTATGAAGTCTGAGATAGAGCTTAGGAATCTACTTTTTACCTACCACTGCCAAGGTGTCTCTGGTGCCAATGGCAGGAGGACCACTCGGGGAAGTGCTATTCCACAGGACGCAGACAACACTCAGGTTTTATTCCTTCACCCCCACCTCCAACCCACTCAACTCACTCAAGAAATCACCCAGAGAGGTTCTTACTTACCCAAAGAGGCATTGTGGCAAAGTTCTTTGTCGTAACATTCAAACCCTTCCTTTGCCCTCCAGCCATAGTTCCCACCTTTAACAATGAGGTCAATTTCTTCAAACTTGTTCTGGCCCACATCCCCACAGAATATTCGGCCACGGCCCTGGCGTGTGATGGGGTCCCCTCGGTCCACAGCACAGCGCCACATGTTTCTGACCCCATAGGCATAGATGGCGGGGTGGGCCCCTGGCTCAGAAACAAATGGATTGTCCGAGGGGACTCGGTACCACTTGCCATCTGCGCCTGCCCCATTCACATCGATCCTTAACACTTTTCCCAGCAGGGAACTTCTGAAAGAAAGAGGAAGAAACAGGCACAGGTAAGCAAAGGCAAAGGACTGGAACAGACCACCCAGAAGGGCCAACTCATAGTCGATGCCAGAGAGTGCTGGGAATCACATGGGGAGTGCAACTTATGGTTTCCTTTAAATATTTACAAGATGTTAAGACTTCCCCATTTTTGGCTCAAAGAGAACCACCAGGCAAAAGTTTGATGTGATCCTGCTCTATGTAACCCTGAGCAAGTGGCAGCTTTAATTTTTTATTTTAATGATGAGGATGGTTTCTCCCTGATTTGGTCTAATACTATAAATTTTTAGAAGAAGCTGGTTTTATTCTTTATTTGGCAATATGGTCAATAAAAAGAACAAAGGCTTTTGAGAGCCTCTGCTGATGACTGTGCTCTCCAGGCCACACTCCCTCACCTGTGAAGCAGGGGGAGTGACACCGCCTCGCAGTGCGGTTGTGGTATAATATCATGGTTAAGCAAGTGATTGCATAGACAGCACTCAATGCAATTCCTGAATTACAGCAAGTATTTCACAGATGCTAGCGTTGCATTATTATTAACCTTAATATTTTTATTACTAGGAATAATAGGAGCCAAGTGCTTACCGGGTGCAAAGGGCAGAAGGCCCACATGACCTTCGTCTAGACAACACAGGGCTCTGGTGCCACCCTTAGTTGGAACTCTGGTTCTGCCACTTACCCATTGTGTGACCTCTGTGCCTCTGTTTTCTTATCTGTGGAATGTATATCATAATACCTCCACTTAATAGGGTTCATTTATTCCATGTGTATTTATGGAGTGACTTCTTGTGCCAGGTGTCTGTTCTCGATGCTGGTAACACACCAATTAACAAAATAGATAGAAATTTCTGCCCTGGAAGGTTATTAGAATTACATTCTCGAATGCATGTGAAATATTTAGAACAATGTCTGACACACAGCAAGCCCCTAATGCACATTAGCTCTCATTATCTAACTTCTCCTGGGCCAAGCGCAGTGCCCGGAGCACAGAATTCATAAAGCACTCTGAGAGTTTGTATTAAGCATCCATATTAACTAACAAAGTGCACTATGTCTGAAATTTATAGGACAGGAAACCCAATGTTCCTCCCATTTGCCTCACTGGAGGAGACCATACTGTTTGCTGTATGTGATTTGGGTTTGACTCCATCTCGGCAAACCCACTGTACCAAGGGCTCACTCTAAAGGGGGGGGGGGCCGTGTCCATCCAGCTTACTTGTTCTGAGCGTTTCCAAACTTGCCAAAGGGGTCCCCAGCCTGTCCTCCATCCCCAGTAAATATGTACATGTAGTCATCCAAGCCAAAAAGAAGTTGCCCACCGTTATGATTTGAGGCCGGTTCTTCTATCTCCAAGATGACCCTGGAAAAGAATTCCTGCTGAATCAAGCTGAAGGTGTGTCCTCTTGGGACACCAAGAAATGACTGGTCCAAGCCACCAAGATCTGCTAAGCTAGCCAAGACCTGCTTCCAAGTTTCCAAGGACCACAAAGCAGGCAGCTTTGGGGCTCTGAGATGCCCCCTATTTCCTGCTATGGCTCCTTTGTGGATCATTCTTCCCTTATATCACGACTTCATGAGGTGTAGACACAGCAAGGGTGACAATCAGCCTTTTCTGGGACTCTCTGCTTTATTAGAACTCTCCATCCCTTCCTTTGAGCAACTCAGCAGGAGCTAGTCTATCAGTTCTTCATGCTCTTTCCAATCCTCCAACCTGTCTATGATGGGAAAAGATACAAGGCAGAAAGGAGAAGGAAAAAGGCAGGGTAGTAGAATGGTAAGAGCTTGCGCTTAGGGTCAGTTAGAAAAGAGTCCTCATGTGACCGAGTGTCAATGCCTTGATGGCCTTGTGCCATAGCTTCCTAGGAGAAGGAGAAATCCCCAAGAGATTGTATCTCACCGTAGGAAATGTGGTGAATACAGTCTCAAGGTAAAGGGTCTGGGCTGTAATGGCCACACACTAATCAGAGACTGCTACTATATTTAATATATTGATATTACCTATACTCATTCCTCAAACCCATATGGCTGCTGGCCCTTGCTCCTCTGTAAAGACAAGCAAGCTGGTTTCAGATAGAGTAACTGGGAGGTGCTGGCTATTCCCCACAAAGAACCTTGACTCAGAGTCTGACTTGAGCAGTCCTCCAGCAACAGTGACCCCTGTCTCAACATTTAAGTTCGTGCCCTAAACCCAGTGAAGCTCCTCTCCATCATCTCGCGGGACTGATTGGCGTTGTTTGAGAGCGCAGCACAGAGTTGCAGATTCTCAGAAATGTGTCTCACCTCTCTGATTTCGGGTCGGCTTTGTTGGGATCAGCCCGGGAAACCTGCATCTCGCTAATCCGGATCTTTTCTACCTTCTTCCTGCCCAGGCATGAATAATAAATGTAGAACTTGCGGTTGCTGCGGAATCTGGGATGAAAAGCCAACCCTAGGAAACCCCTCTCATCCCCGATCCTCGGAGTGGTCAGAACGGTGTCCTTGAGGTCCAAGAAGGGCTGCTGCAGGCGGCTCCCGTCGGGAAGGTAGACCCACACGGCGCCCACCTGCTCGGCCACGAAGCGGCGGTGGGTGCCGTCCCCGGCGTGGACCATGCACACGGGGTTGCGCAGCCCGGTGGCCACCTCGGCCAGGCAGAGTCGCAGGCAGCCCCGAGGGCCGGTGGCCGCCGCCCCCGGGGTGCGGGCCAGGCGGTGGCTCCTCAGCACGTTGGGGAAGCAGTAGTCCTGGTCCGGAAGGCGGAGCAGGTGGCAGAAGGTGGCACTGTCCTGGCCGCGGGTCGCCCGGAGGCCGTGATCGCCGGTCAGCAGGGAGGTGGCCGCGGGGCAGCGGGACAAGAACGCAGAGCAGTAGTCGGCGCACAGGCCGGGGAGGGGCCGCAGGGGCGTGCGGGCGTCCTGGGCGCCGTACAGGTGCGCGGCGTAGGGCGAGCACACCTGGAAGAGCAAAGGGAGCTCCAGCTCAGCGGTTGGACGGGCCACCCGGGGGCCGTCTCGATTTCTGAGCAAGCAGAAAGGAAAACCAGTCTAAGAAAAAAATCAGGATTCTGGGGTTTGCTTGGGTTTTTTTCCACCAACTACTGCTAAATCACTTCTCTTCTCTGTGACCCAAATTTTCTACCCGCTTATTGCTTCTGGAAGGCAGAAATGGAAAAAGAGAAAACAAACAAACCAAGCAAAAACAAAAACAAAAACCCCTCTCCTATTCCCTGTACTATCCCTAGCATTTCAGCTTAATTCTTGACATTTCCCGTTTTATTAAATGACGAATGAATATTTTTTCCAAAGGAGATGTTACCAAATTTCTCAGTTTTTCCCTTTCTTATAAATGCTGTATCTGTAAGATTTTATTTCTTTATACAAATCTGAAGCCATTTGGCAAAAGTTTCACGCTTGTTAAAATCTGGGTGCTGGGCATGCCGTGTTAATTATTTAATGTTCCGTGCTTTTCCAGATTTTTGAAATATTTTACAATTAAAAATAAAATTATCAAAATGGACATTCGATCTACCACTCCCAGAAATTAGGTGTCTAGCAATATCTTCACTTATTTATTTAAAATATTTAAGTGTTTAATGTATGCAAAGTATCATGCTGGGAGCTATACAAACTTGGATAGTGGCTATAGGGCAATGGGACTGCTCTTAACACAAACGCAGGACTGTGTGCGCAAGGGAGTTTCTGCTACTTGGACCTTCCTAGACTGTAACATTTTTTAGGAGGAAAATAGAATATTGTGGGCAGACAAGCAACTCCCAATAGTGATGAAAGACGAAGGCATCTGAGATTAGTAAAGTAAGAAGGGTTTAAAGCAGGGGTCCCCAACCTATGTGAGTTACATAATTATTTCATTATATATTACAATGTAAAAATAATAGAAATAAAGTGCACAATAAATGTAATGCATTTGAATCATCCCAAAGCCATCCCCCACCCCATCTGTGGAAAAATTGTCTTCCATGAAAAGGACCCCTGGTACCAAAAAGGCTGGGGACCACTGGTTTAAAGGATCTGGTTTGGGGCCTTGGAGTGGAGCAGAGTCCACTGGCCCAATAGGCTCCTTTTGATCACTAAGGGCTCTCCCCAGAGCTGTCTCCCCGCAGAGCTGTCTCCTTCCCCTCCGCGCTCCCACCACTTCACTAAGGGACCAGCAGCATTCTTCCTGCATGAGTTCCCTGTTCTCTCTTATTTCCCCTGACTGTAGATTGCAGAGCAAGCTCTGGGTTATCTGGCGGAGGGGAAGAAGGAGCTCAGAGATTCACAGCAGCTCTCCCCAGGCTGTTTCTGTTTAGGATATTTGTCAGAGCTGCTAACAAAAAGCAATGTGAGGGGACCTTTCTTAAGTGTCCTGAAATACCAAGGAACAGAGGAGGGCTGTGGAAACTCCCCACCACCATTGCACACTTCCATGCGGCCATTCAGAGTTTGCAAAGTTGCTTCTGCCCAGTTGGCTCAGTAACTAAGCAAATGTTTCTCTACTTTAAGGGTGAGAAAATTAAGGTCCAGGAAGAGTCTCTGCTATGTGACTCTACTGTTGAGTCTCTCCTCTGTGCCAGGAACTATACTCTGCAGTGGGGATTGAGCAGTGAGCAAATGCACAAAATTTCTGTTCTAAGGAGCCTACGCTTACAGTTCAGAAAACCATAAAACAGCCAGGACTGCTGATACTGTACTTTGACACAGTGTGAGCAAAAGGGCACAAGACTTGGAGTCTAAGCATCTAGTGCCCCAGGACTGTTTGATCTTGGGCAAGTCACTTAGAACTCCTGACTCCGCATCAGTAGAGTGGTGGTCATAACATTAACAACTGCCTGCAGAACCATTGCTGGGCACGAGCTACACAGGTGGGGAAAGAAAGTGGGCCTTGTAAATTTCAACAACTAGACATGAGCAGGGTTGTTTCGCTGAAATTATTCTTATTCCTCAAATTCCTGAAGCAAGAGAACTGCTGATTTTGGCTTTCTGAAGCTTCACACAAAAGAAAAGGGCAAGAGGAGGAGACATTTCTACCAGGGGAGATCTCAGAAAGAAACAGTTTCAGTGCCACTCATAAAAGCTCCGCTTCTGCTCAAATGGTTAATTCTCCAGGAAGCAGCCAAGAGAGGTGGTTCCTGAGATGAGGAAGTACAGCCTGGGGCGGTGCCACCCAGGTGGCCGGCTTCTATGCCAGGCTGTGCTGTAATTCCCGCCTGGACTCTGGGAAGCTCAGTTAACCTCTCCCCACCCTGCACAGGGAGTTGAGTGGCCAGTGCGTTCTAGAATAGCGGCAGCGGGAGTCCTGAAGAGATGCTGCAGATAGCCAAGTGACTGCATGACACGCCCAGGAGGGTCTCAGATCAAAGTCTGCCCATACTTGCCGTCTCTCACCCCCAGCACATCGCCAGAGTGCATCTCCCCATGCAGCCTCTTTCGTCAGTTCTCCAATGCTGACCCCTCCCCCTGCACCGCCAACCACCGCCCATGCCTGTCATGTTTTCAGGCTGAGCTCAACTAAGGCATTGCCTCCCAGGGATGTGGATCTTGGCTGCTGGAGTGGCAGGAGAAGCAGAAACTCTGTGAGTCACTGCCACTCAGCAGCTCGAGGCTCTCTTGTCCGGTTCTGAAATGCCAGGCAGGCAGACTCTGGGAAGAGCCCCCAACCCCTGCCATCATCACACCAGAGACCCCCCTGGCACGAATCACTCAGACGAGTGAAGACTGGACCCCAGCAGATGCCACCACTCCCTCTCTTACACACCCTGTGAATGCCACGGTGGGGGGGGGGCGGTGTAAGTGTTCAGCTCTCTGAACACTGCAGGGAGGACGCAAACAATGGCTACTCTAAGAGCTCCATGAAAATACCCCTCCCATTCCCCTGGGGCCTGGAGAAGAACCAGGGCCAGCAGAACTCCACAGGGAGAGCTTCAGGAAACCAGTGGAAACCGAAGTCAGCATACTGTCACCTCAGTGTGCCTGTCCACAGCATGCAGCTCTACAGTGAGGCACCTGGCAGGTGAGCTTCTAAAGGGCCGGGTGGGCCAGGAGCAGTGGCTCATGCCTGTAATCCCAGCACTTTGGGAGGCCGAGGTGGGAGAGGGAACAGGGGGAATCACTTGAGGCCAGGAGTTCACAACCAGCCTGGGCAACATAGCAAGACCCTGTCTCTACAAAAAGTAAGAAAGACAGGCTGAGTGCCCAAGGTACCCTCCCCCCAGGACCCACAGCACGCAGCCCCGCACCCCAAACTTCTGGGGCTAGAAGGCACTCTGCAGCTTCCCTCAGGGTCCTGCTCAGGCCTACCTGACAAAGGATGTCTTTGATGTAACCTCCACACAGCTCATGGCTCTTCGGATCTAAGTATTCCAGAATGTCCTGGTACCGGGCAGCAATGCGGCGGTCCTTGTGCTGGTCACAGCAGCCAAAGGACTTGTAGTCAGAGCAAAACTCGAGGTGCAGGGGGAGCTGGAAGGGGGGCCCGTAATCTAGACATTGGCGGTGTCCCTGCAGCAAGCCCACCTGGCCCAACAAGAATGGGAGGCAGAGGCAGAAAATGCCAGAAGAGAGCCAGGGTGCCGGGCGACATAGACCACCACGCAGACTAGGAATGGGCCTTCTCAGCATTTTGGCCCCGCACACTCAGGCTGCTGTGTTTGCTCAGGTTGGCTTTCCTGCTCTGCCCAATCCCCTCCCTCTCCTCCTCCCCACACCCCACCCTGTTTTCTCCTCCTTCCTTCTCTTCCCCTCCTCCCCACACCAAGTTCACCGAGATGGTTTCTCCGCAGTGTCCCTTCTGTGGCCTGGTTATCCAAGTGTCCCTTTGAAAGCAGTGGGAGGCGTTCCCCACCCCTCCAATTCCATCTAACCATGAAGCTGGAGCGCCTCTCAACCCCGTGCTGAGTCGGGGGCGCAAGCTGCTCAGCCAAAGGTGCCATGGTGTCGATGGCAAAGGTGCCGTGTTGCCTGAAGACTGCAGAGAATTTCTGTGGTGCAGGGGGACGCCAGGGCATTCACACTTGTTTACTGTTTCTTCACGGGCTGAGTGGCCCAGAGTCACCACGAGAACACCAGCTATTACACAGTCCCAGACATCGGACTCTGCGGAAAGCACGCGTCAAGGGTCCCGCAGTGCTGAAGGGCACCGTGGGGCTGGGGGTGGGAGAGGTGGAGGGTGGAGAGGGCGTGGCAGGAGGCAGGGTGTGCTGCGTGGCTCCTGGGACCTGGAAAGATGAGTATTGGGGACAGTAGGAAGACAGGACTTTTCCTGAATCCTGCACTCACAGCAAGAAGCAAAGTGTGGAAAGAGGAGACAGTAAGGGAAAAAGGAGGGCATCTGAGTCAATCCGTGCTGTGACAGAACACCACAGACCAAGTCATTTACAAATAATAGAAATTTCTTGCTCACAGTTCTGGAGCCCGGGAAGTACAAGCTCAAGATGCCAGCAGGCTCAGTGTCTGGTGAGGGCCCCGCTCCTCACTGATGGCACCTTGTTGCGGATCCTCACGTGGCGGAAGGGACAGAGGGAACAAACCCACCCTCCCTTAAGCCTTTTTATAAGGACCCTAATCCCATCCACGAGGGCCCAGCCCTCAAGACTTAATCACTCCCTGAAGGCCCCACCTTCTATCACACTAACGATTAAGTTTCAACATATGAATTTTGGGAGACAATTTTGGACCATAGCAGAGGGGGTGTGGCCCAGTGAAAACAAGGAGTCAACAGGCTGTTTGGAACAATTTCACCAGGAAGCATAGGATGCCTGGGTTCTTTTGCCAAATCTATACCTGCTTTAGGGCATTCCTCCTCACTTAGAATATGTTACAACATTAGTTATTTAAAGGTGTGTTTTGCTTTATACATGTCCATCATACATAACAGACTTTCAATAAATATTTTTTTCTTTTTTTAGAGATGGGGTCTCACTATGTTGCCCAGGCTGGTCTTACACTCCTGGGCTCAAGGAATCCTCCCACCTCAGCCTCCCAAGTAGCTGGGATTACAAGCGTGAGCCACCTCGCCTGGCTAATAAACATTTCTTGAGTGACTGGATGAACATGGGGTCCCAAACTTACACAGCCCCAAACCCAGAGGTGTGAAGAGGTGCGCAGGTCTATGGGAACATTTGCTACCTGAGTTCACTCTCCTTCCAGTCCATGGTTCTGGTCCATCCTGAAATTTCCTTACTGGCAAAAGCTTGCCTTTGAAATGCAGATGAAATGTAAGTTTCTTTTTGTTCCAGATGTGCTTCTGTGGAGGGCACCATGCCTGGCTCTCCCACCCATCACCAGAAACAGCGTTTGTCAGGCTGTCATCAGGAGGGAACGCTGAGCCTCAATCTAGCCAAGTCTGTACTCACAATGTTCTGGATTGTGAAAGCCCCAAATTGCATTTATAGCACAAACAAGATCTTTACAACTACGGGAAAATTCTGGAGGAGGGAGTAGCCAACACAGCCCTGCTTTCCTATTTGTACTGTTTAATATACCTGGTTGAGTGGGGCTTTCCAAAGCATAATACGCCATCCATGATTCACTGGTGACCGTGCCGTTTCCCCTGGGTTGTTTGTGCAAAGGTCTGGAAGCAGAAGCGTTGGGTGGGAGAAGTCACTTGTGCTAACTTCAGCCGGTCAATTCTCAGAAATGGAAGGTAACCATCAGACTCTGGATACGTAAGAATGAGTGCATTCTCTCATTCCATGTAAAACCTGAGAGTATTTCTAGATCTTCTATTGACATTTATGTCTCAGTTTTCCTTTTGCCACGAAAAATACAGAGATCTTATTGTTTTGGGCAAAGAGTCATTGTAAGATTAGCAGGGAAAGATCAGCCTGGCAGGCTCTCATCAGACATAGTGACGGTGTGAGTTTCTGATTATTAAAACATGCAACATTTCGGATGATACTACATAACATCTCAGATAAAATTATATAATCATGCAATAATTAATTTCAAAATAGATGTCTGGTGTCAATTCAGTAAATATGTATTATTATATGTAAAGTGGAAGAGGAATGTTTAACAAAAAACTGATATAAAAAACAAACTTTTTCAAGGAGTTTATGCTCTAAGAAAAAAAGGATAAAAAAGTATCCGAATAATGCAAGGCAGATTATATTAGGATAACCATAAGGGAGGAACAAGCTGCCGTCAGGGATCCTGAGGACGGAGAAATGACATCAGGCTGGAGTGGACTAAGAAGATCTTGAGGAAAGTTGAACAGGGCTTTTAGATAAGGTACGGATGGAAAGAAAAACAGAAAACAAGTTTTGACTGAGTGTTAGGTGAGCTTAGTATTGAAATAAGCCTGCAACTATAAACTAGGACCAGACTGAGTCTCTGAAATCATGTTAGCACCTGCTTTGGAAGCAAACATCATCTTTTAAAAAATTAGTTCGCTAGGGCTACTATAACCAAGTGCCACAAACTGGGTGGCTTAAATAACAGAAAGGTATTGTCTCACAGTCCGGGGGCCCAGAAGTCTGAGCTCAAGGTGTCAGCAGGGTTGGTTCCCTTCTGAGGGCACGAGGGCGACTCTGTCCCATGCCCCTGCCCTGGCTTCTGGGGGTCTCCCAGCACCCTTGCATGCCATGGCCTGTAGATGTATCGCCCCACTCTCTGTCTTCCACATGGTGTCCTTTCTCCCTGTTCGTGCCTGGGTCCAAGTTTCTCTTTTTTATAAGGACACCCATCATACCAGACTAGGGTCCATTTTCATAATGATCTTAATTTTAACTTGATTATCTCTGTAAAAAAAAAAAAAAAAGAAAGAAACTGTGGCCAAATAAGGTCACATTCTGAGGTACTGGGGATTAGGTCTTTAACAATTCCTTTTTAGGAGATACAATTCAACCCATAGCAGTAACGCACACACATGCTGTTTCATGTGGCAAGTCATGTTTAAAAGTGATGTTGAGAGGTTGAGTCTGATGTTTATCCTAGAACCAGGTCATGGAACAGAAGAAATACACGAAGAAATGTTCTAGCTCAGTAGCTTCTCACACAGTTCACTGATTTCCCTCACAGTCCGTCCTCCTTCAGACTAGCTCCTGCTCCCGCAGTCTGAAGATGAACAGGTGCACTTGTGACAAGGTGAAGTACTACCTCTCTCATCTGTACTACGCTTTGCAGTTTACATAGTATTTTCTTACGCTGCCATCTCATTGGATCTTCGTGACAATTTTCTTAGCTAAGCAAGGTAGACATCATATTAATAGTGTGTATGAGTGAATCAAGTGTTGGAGAAATACTTTAGGGTCCCACTTTAGGTGAATGGAAGATGGCAATAAATTCAGGTGTTCTGAATTACAGCCCAGATTGCTTTCATTTCATCATGATGTATCCAAAAAGAATGAAATAATCACTTTTACTTGTTCTTTATTTAGAAAAATTTGTCAGATGAAGGAAGAAATCCTGAAGAGCATGTTGACTGAAGATTCAGTCATATTGATCAGATTATCTGGGAATTCTTGGTACAGGCATGATGGGAGTTGTAAATAGGCAACTGGCAGTGGTATCACTGTGGGACTCATAGGCAGAAACAAATTAAAGAGTTGCCTCTATTCACTGAGATAGAGGTTACCTTCGTGACTATGAAGACAAAATAGAGGTCTCTGTTCCTTATATTTTGTAGGATTGAGTAAGAGTAGACTCTCATTTGGTGGCTGGTTGTTTCTTTTAGAAGCATTTCTTTTATATGAACTTATTCAGAAGATGATAGCCATATAATATGTAGTACACATTCATCAAGGGTCTTGTTGACTTTTGGGAATATTTATTTATGCATTTATATATATAAGACAGGGTCATTCTCTGTTGCCCAGGCTGGAGTGCAGTGGCATGATCATAGTTCACTGCAGCCTCAAACTCCTGAGCTCAAGCAATCCTCCTGCCTTAGCCTCCTAAATTGGGACTACAGGGGTGCACCACCACACCCGGCTAATTTTTTTATTTTTTGTAGAGGGTGGTCTTGCTATATTGCCCAGGCTGGTCTTGAACTCTTGGCCTCAAGTGATCCTACTGCCTTGGCCTCCCAAAGTGCTGTGATTACAGGCATGATCCACTGTGCCCAGCCTGGAATATTTAATACACAAATATTCTAATTCAATCCAGCAGAAAAAGCCCTTGTGCTATAAATATGGGTAAATAACTGGGTTCAAAAGGATATACCTACCTGGGTTTTTCTTAATATTTGTTTCTTTTCCTTTTCTTTAAATGTTAAAATAATGTTACCACTTATTGAGAAAAACCATATTCCAGAACCCATGCAAAGCACATTATATCTGCCTTTCTCAGACCACCCCGTTTTACAGAATAAAGATGAGGCTCAGATAGGTAGGATGCTTCAGCCATGCTGGAATTTGAACCCAGGCCTTTCCAACTCTATTGAACTTGCTTTTCTTTTCGGGGGGAAGGTGGAGGAGTGTAACTACTTTATTGAGATGTAATTCACATACCATATAATTAACCCAATAGGGGTTAATATCAAAATATATAAGGAATTCATACAACTCAATGCCGAAAATATAAATAACCCAATTTAAAAAAATGGGCAAAGGACCTAAATAGACAACTCCTCAAAAGAAGAAATTTAAATGGCTAACAGGTCCATGAAAAAGTACTCAACATCTCTAGTCATGAGGGAAATGCAAATCAAAACCACAAGGAGCTATCACTTGACACCTGTTAGGATGGATAATATCAAAAATAAGATAGGTGTTGGTGAGGACATGGAGAAAAGGGAGCCCTTGCACACTGCTGATGGGAATGTAAATTGTGGAAAACAGTATAGATATTCCCCCAAAACACTTTCAAATAGAAATATCCGGGCATAATCCAAAGTAAATAACATCAGAATTGAGAAAAGATATCTGCACTCCTATGTTCACTGCACTATTACCAATAACAGCCAAAATATGAAAACGACCTAAATGTCCTTTGATGGATGAATGGATAAAGAAAACGTGGCATATAAAAATACACTGTGGAATATCATTCAGTCTTAAAAAAGGAGGAAATCCTGCCATTTGCAAAATGTGGATGAACCTGGAGGATATTATGCTGAGCAAAATAAACAAGACACAGAAAGAAGTACTGCACGATCTCACTTATACGTGAAAGCTAAAACAGTCATATTCATAGAAGCAGAGTAAGATGGTGCTTGCCAGGGGCTGGGGGAAGGGGGAAATGGAGGCATGTTGGTCAAATGATACAAAGTTTCAGTTATACTGATGAATAATTTGTGGAGATCTAATGGACAGCATGATAATGATATTAATAATAGTTCAGTACTGTATTGCATACTTGTAATTTGTTAAGAAGATAGATCATAAATCTTCTCACCACACACACAATGGTAATTATATAGAGATAATGGATATATTAGTTTGATTGTGGTGGTATTTCACAATATATCTGTATATCAAAATACCAAGTTATACATCTTAAATATGTACATTCAGAGGTTTCCAGGAGAGAACAAGACTTTAAATTCTCTTTGTTTCTGTTATTTAAAGTAGTAAGGATGGATGGTTACTTAGTACAGGCTGAATATCCCTTATCCACAATGCTTGGGACCAAAAGTGTTTTGGATTTTGAATTCTTCCAGATTTTGGAATATACTTAACCACTTGAGCATCCCGAACTTGAAAGTCTGAAATGCTCCAATTAGCATTTCCTTTGAGCATCATGTTGGTGCTCAAAAAATTTTGGATTTTGGAGCATTTTTGATTTTAGGTTTTCAGATTAGGGATATTCAACCTGTAGTTAGAATTTATTAAGCATCAATTATTATCCTAGGCATTAATTATATTGCTTTTATTCTTCATAACAATCCAATAAGATAAATCCCATTGTCTCCACTGTACAAATGAAGAAGCTAAGAGAGCTTAAGTTACTTGCCCATGAAGTCAAAGAACTACCAAATGATAAACCCACCATTCAAACTCTGCTGAGGCCCTACTCTTGGCATAAGAGTGCCAAGATATTCCTTCCTATGGGATAGGCACACTTGGTCCATAACTTTTGCAAATTCTCTTTCAATTCAACTCAATGATCATTTAATAAGCTAGAAATTCTAAGTATTGGTGACGTGAAGATAATTATGCCTAGATAACACACTAGTGGGAAAGACAGAAGTGCAAAGATAATGAACAATGCAGTGATTTGATAAGAGGCTGTATAGGAACTGGTGAGGACACATTGTGGGGAGCCTCCCAAGCCTGGGAGAGTGAGAATAGGTTTGCTTGAGCCAGCAGCCTTTGGGTTACACATGCCCTCTATTCTTTTCCTTGCTACTGCTGATGAAGGAAAAGAGTCAAGCTTTTAAAGAATTAGTTTTATTTAGAAGTCTTACTAAGCACTATAGACCAAGACCTATAGCCCAGGAGCAGTCCTTCATAGAGGTTCTGCCAGAATGCTCTAGCACAGAATTTCAGCCACTGCTTATATATAGGCGGTGGGGGTTCAGTATGTGCAAAATCACATCGAACTTGCCTAGAAGTTACAGTAAAGCAGAACCACATTAAGGTTTGGGTGTAATAGTACACCTGGTTATAAACCACAGAAGCATAATCACTAACTCTGTCAGACATTATCTTATGCACAGGAAAAGGCAAAGACTAGGGTCATTTATCTTTTAAGAAATGCAGTGACTCAGGAAAGACATGCAGGGGGTCGTGTGCTCCATCCTGTGTGGTTTTCAAGGCACCTTTCCAGAGAGTTGCGTGGCAAAATGAGTCAGGGGCAGGCAAACACAGCTTCTTACCTTTGCTTCTTTGTCTCTCACACTAGCTAGCTCAGCCCTCTGCATGTATTAACAGTAATGACGGACCAAACAAGGAGGAAGTACACACAGTACCTGACAGTGTGACCTTCGCACACCGTTTGGGTTAGGGTCCTGGGGCCAACACCTACTAGCTGTGATCTTGGCAAGTCACTTCATCTCCAAAGACCCCATTTTCTTTCTTGGTAAAATGGCGACAATACATAGGATTGTGATGGTGATATGACGAAATGCAAAGCCGAAAGTGCTTGATAAATTTTAGCTATTACTATTAGTCATGTAACAGGCTTTACCTTCGGTGAACCTAAAAAAGGTTTCACAGGTGCTGAATCACACTGCTCTTGATGAACAATTAGATATAAACGTTTGATAGAAAAATTCTAGGGAACTAAGCTAAGCTTTGTGTGAAAACCGAGAACCATAACTACTCATTTCTCTTTTATTCTCACCTCCATTCTCCTAGAGATCATGATAACTCGTAAGTCCTATTTTATAGCTCTGGACAAAAGTTTTCAGGGAGTAGATGCCCTGATGATCTTGGCTTATGCATTGAGATTTTGTCCACATCCTCTGGGAATTTCATTCCTATAGTGTTGATCTTATACAGAACTATACAACCCAATCATCAAGTCCCAGCAGTAAAGTTCCCACGTGGTAACTTTCACTCAGTTTACTTTGGTTCTGCGAAGCACCTACTTGTTTCATATGCACAGTATAAGGTTAGGTACTTCTTTGTTGACAGACTTTTCTTACTAAGTATAAAATAATACTGAAATATAAATTATTGACAAAGCATAATTTGTCCCCCAAATTTCTTGCAGATGGTTTAAAATTAGTAGGAATATAAGCCAATAGGAAAAATATATAGTTCGCCACCTAAATATTAGACTTCTTCTGGCATTGAACCTTCTTGAAACTTACTAGTTATCTGAACTAAATGTGTAAGAGCAAGAGAGTCCTGAAGCAGCACATACTCTACCGCCGTCACAACATGTTACAAAGCTCAGCTCACGCTCCGGGAAAGTTGCTGGCTTTTGGCCAAGCCTCCCCGTCGGGCTTACCATGCGTCTCAGGGACCTGATTTCACTGGCAGAGCTTCCTCACTGTCCAGCTGCCTACTGCTGCATCCTAGTGGCCAAGAGAAAAAGAAGCGGGGACATATGAGTTCAAAGCATGTCTCAGATTGCTGTGCCAGGCAACAAGAGCCCTTTAAAGTCAGGCCACTGCCAACTGAAAGCAGCCAGCCCTCTCTACCTCTCTGGTCCAATTCGTCCTCTAGAATCAAAGGTCTTTCTCTAGCAGAAAGTCACTCAGCCCCAAACTGCCCTGTCTTTATACTAAAAGAGAAAGCAGAGTCTTTTCTAAATCCTTCTCTCTTTTCAAAAGTCCTCTACAGAACACATCACCAATATATTTCTTCATGGTGGTGTACCTAACATGGATCAATTATTTAATAAAATCTAAAAGAATATAAATCCATCTCATAAAACTACAGTTATATTTTATTACACAATAGTCAGAGACAAATTATCTTCAAACAATAATTGCTGTAGAGCTGTACTCTCTAACTAAACAAATATTTTTTCATTTGAGGAATTATTCCTTAATGTTATATTTAACATTACAAAAAAGAAAACATACATATTTATAAAGAGCAAAGGCAGTGAAACTGTTTCCTTAGCTATAACTGATAATAAAAAATATATAAACATATACAAAAATAACTTTTTTGAGGTCATACAAACTACCTTCTTAAAACACTACATAAATACATTCAATAACTAAATATTGAGCTACTACTCTGTGGCTACCACTGGGAAATAACTAAGAGTCATATCAGAGTCCTGGATTTACAATACTGTATTTTTTTACTGATTTCTTCATCCGCTTAATTTTCTTCCTTAAGACTTCGTGATCTTGTTTTGAAATATACCGAAAATATCTACAACCTAAAAAATAAAACAAAATAAAAAGCTTTAATACTTATCGAATTTTTCAAGAATATTTCTATAGTTTTAAAATTTTGCTTCAACTCTGGCCTACTAGGGATTATAAAAATAAGCCTATTTGCATTATCTATACCAATATGTCCTAAGCATATTCTAAGAGGTGTCACCAATGAAATGTATTATTTCCTATATTCAAAAATGTTTCTGATTCATAATTAAGGCACAGACTTTAGCTGGTTTCCTACCCTTCTCCCCAAATCCTAGTTATGGCAATATGCATATTATATATTATACATATTCATATATTAAATGAGCCCTCTCCAAAAGTGGATCATTATAGCTTCCTCTCAATATTAGCTTGTAAATTAGCCAAAGTTGCATTTATAATAATGAAAAAGTTTTCTGTAGAGTACCTTGGTGTGAAGGTTTAGGATAAACAAATCATAAGTTAGAAGAGATCAAACATTATCTATTCATTCTGGCCATCTAGCGAGCAGTGGATGGAGATCACGTAGCTCTGACAAAGGTACCTCGTGCTCATTAGAAGAAGTTCTACCTGCTCTTCATAGTCTTACAATGCAAAGAGGACCATTTGCCAAATACTTCAGAGAAATGAACCAAATTTCTATAAGAAAAATGTAAACTGGACATTATAAGAGTCTTTTTTAACATTTGTTAAATGAATAATTCCATAAATCATATATGAAAAATTAAATTCATTCTAGCCTCAGCTTGTATATATCCATCTTCTCTGGGAAATTGCTAGGATATATACTGTACCTATAGTAACCATTTTATTACCCCTGAAAATAGTATGTCAGAATTGCTAATATTTTTGTTTTGGTTTTTTTTAGAGTTTTTTTTTTTTTTTTTTTTTGAGACAGGGTCTCACTTGTTGCCCAGACTGGCCTCAAACTCCTAGGCTCAAGGGGTTCTCCTGCCTCAGCCTACTGAGTAGGTGGGACTCCAGGCATTTGCCACCGTGCCCAGCTCAATTGCTAATATTTTATTAGCTATGAAGCAGTGGTATCTGTGGTGTTACTAAAATAATTTGTGCTTCCAAACATATCACACCACATTAGTAAAAACAAAACACTGTGTTTACAGATTTTTGCCTCTACCTATATAGAAAGTTGGAAAGAACTTTGTTCCTACTCTAACATACAGCAAAAGTTGAATAAACTACAAATATTAACTCTTCTTAAATCCACCAGAGAACTAAAGTCACAGGGCAACCAAGTAGCCTGATTTCCGAGGAGGAAAGGCCCCTCCAAGGAGAAATGGGCATGGCTTGCTTTTAGCAGAGCGTTGGGAAGAAAGACAGCCACCATACGCTACTCTAAGCACAAGGCATAGGCAGATCATGACTAGAATTTGAATCCTACGACATAATGATGATAACCAGAACAAGAAGAATACCCAGCTTAACTACCAAATAGACCGACTCAACCACACTCCAACAGCCCAACAGAAGAAAAGATGTAGCTATTTCAGGCATAACTGATGCCTGATATTTATAGAGTACTTTGGAATTTGTAAAGCACTCTGATGCAGTGTTCACATGATGTTACAACAATCCTGTAAGCAAATGAAGATAGCTGTTACAATGCCCATCTTCCAGAGAAGGCTCCCAAAGGTTAACTGCTCGACCTAAGTTACACAGCGAGTGAGAGAGAATTGGAAAATTAACTCAGGCCTTCTGACTGCTCAAAGATAGGTCTAGGTCTCTGCACTAGATACCTCCTACTCATAAAGTAGCAGAAAATGACAATCCAAATCACATTTCTGTTCCTTGTCATCAGTATATTAGAGAATAATTTTAAATTACTTTCTTATTAATCCCTTTCCTTCCACAAAAAACAACATTTAGTTGGTAACCATAGTTACTAAGATTAATTCACTGAGAATACTAATTCCAAAATAATACAAACCATATCCAAAAGTGAATTGAAGAATCTCTTTTGGACAGTTTCAACTCCATAGCAACAGACTGCTTACCAGTCGTCATTGTAAGGTTTGCTTTCTTCACTTCTGGACGTATTTTGTGGCAGTTTCATTTTAGTAGTGGCCACCTTTTCATATTTCAGTGGTACAAAGCAGGTAAGAGTTTTATCATCCAAAATAATAATATTTCATAAAGATCAATATTTCTTTTCTTTTAAGAGGGTTTTTTCATATGCTAATAGAAGATATTCTTTCTCTTCGGGGGAGAAAATGTTTTATCCTTATAGGAACAGATACATAAATATAATATGAAGTCAATAAATATTTTTGTGCTTTTAATAAAGTATATAATCTCTCTCAGTAAACTTTCTATAAAGCAAGGTCATTTATCATGAGAACAGTCTGGGTCATGTATCTTAATACCGCCTAACAACACTCAAGTCACAACATGAAAACCAATCACAATCAACAAGATGAAATTACTGTTTCTAATCAAGGGGGATTTCTTACAAGCACATCACCTGCTCCCAACTCAAGATTTACTCTTCCATTCAGTAATTATTTCTCAAGCATCTAATATCCTTGGGCACCACGCTAGGTGAACTTCTAAGATAAATGGTCATACTTTGTCATTTCAAAATCAGCCAAAAGCTATGTCTAGTTAAAAAGAAAACAAAGGCTGGGCATGGTGGCTCATGCCTGTAATCCTAGCACTCTGGGAGGCCGAGGTGGGCGGATTGTTTGAGCTCAGGAGTTCGAGACCAGCCTGAGCAAGAGCGAGACCCCGTCTCTACTAAAAAAAAATAGAAATAAATTATCTGGATAACTAAAAACATATAGAAAAAATTAGCCGGGCATGGTGGCTCATGCCTGTAGTCCCAGCTACTCAGGAGACTGAGGCAGTAGGATCGCTTGAGTCCAGGAGTTTGAGGTTGCTGTGAGCTAGGTTAACGCCACGGCACTCACTCTAGCCAGGGCAACAGAGTGAGACTCTGTCTCAAAAAAAAAAAAAGAAAACCAAACCAAAACGCGTACCTTTTCCTAACAGTATTCCAGCTACGGAAGCTTTCTCACAAGCCAAAGCTGTATCTTCCTTCCAATCCCTTTTTGCCCAATAGCAGCTGAAGTGAAAGCTTGGCCACCAGTTTCTCCTGGAGTTCCACTGTTCTTGAACCCACACAAGGTGGTTTCTGGAAAAGAAAAATGTCCAAAGGGAAGGTCAATGATGGGGACAAATCTATATTGTCAGAATTTGAACTTAAGTAGAGTCTACGAAAAGGTGACAAGGAAGATGTTTCCAAACCAAATTCTGAGTATGGCCAAGGCATAACACATAACTGGCAATAGCATAAAAGCAAATCCTTTTTTGTTCTTTTCCATCTCCGTGTCCCCTTTTCCATTTAACTAAACAGCCAATTCAGTGTAGCACACTGGTTAACAGGATAGACTCTGAAGCCAGAATCCTGGATTCAAAATCTCAGATCTTCCATTTACTATTAATGTAATCCTGGGCAAGCTGTTTAACCTATGTGAGCTTCGGTTTCCTTGAGGACATTAATGGTACCTATCTCATAGCACTGTTACTAGAATTAAGCTGGTCCAGTAGGACTGTACAGCAGGTCTCATATAAAACTCTTTGCATAGTGTCTGGCACATATACTAAATGTTCAATAAATGTTATCTATTATTATTATTACTTAAAAGTTACTTAAAACCTTACTTAAAATTATATGTTGCCAAGGATTATTATCCAAATTAAGTTACCATTATTATACAAATACATGACACACAGGTTTGCCAATTGATCCCAGGCAATGTTATGTGTTTGTCAATAATTTATTTTTTATATTTATTTAAGATGTACAACATATTTTGATATACATATAACTTACTTTTTGTGTGTGTGGTAGGAGCACCTAAAGTCTACTCTTAGTAAATTTCCAGCACATAATACAATATTAACTATGGTTCTCATGATGTATATTCGATCTCCACAATTCATTTGAGCAAATGCTTATTTAGCACCTCTGTCCCCCGCCACGGTAGAACTTTTAGAAGTTCAAAAAATGAATCTTCCTGCCTTCAAGAACTGTGAGGTCTAACAGAGTTTTATCCAGCACTTGAGACTTGCAAAGTGGTTTATAGGGAGTGCGTCAACATAGCACACCAAAAACATTTCCTCATCCACACTGTTCCATCTCCAAGGTCAAGACAGATGGAAAGCCTGAAAAAAGTTCCAACTGATGCTGAACTTCCTATCCAGCTAACATATACATAATAAATAAAGGAAACTTAATGTTGTGATCTCCTTTTTTCTCACACACTAAGTAAAAATAACAAGAGCAACTCCTTTTCTTTTACTCAAAATGTGACACTAATATTATAATAAGAGGTTTTAGATACCTAGAACACAATAGACTTAATAAATATTTGTTGAATGAATAATCTATGATGATCTTGTGAGGTCCTAAAAAGACCCACTGAAAATGATTGAAAACAGCTAGAGGAAAGCTGCTTCCCATGTGAGAGTCTTTAGCAAAGAGTGGGCATGATCCCTTCCAGTCATTACTTCCAATTTGGAAACACACACTTATTCCCTAGCAATGCAGTGCTAAGGTACAGTACTTATTTTGACAGCACAGAAAATCTTGATAGAATTTTTGGATGTCAGTTATCCTTATGATTCTGTATTTCCTTAGTTCAGAAGAAAACGTACTTAGAAGGAAACAGCTGAAGATACAATTCAAGAAACCCAAAAACATAAGCAAAGAACTTTATTTGAAAATTGACAGATAATAGCTAAAATATTGGGAAATATTATTTATGATGATCCAGCAACAAATACTCTATGTTTCTTACCCCATTAAGGTCTGTCTCAGATATTTTGCCAAATATTTCCAAGCAGTTACGTTCTTAGTGCATCCAGCAAAATCTAAAACTCCAAACAACACCTCCAATGCCAGTTTATGGTGTTCTTCTTTTTCTGCAATGGTCATAAAAGTTCAAGTTTACATGAGGTATTAAAGTGTACAAAGCTAAATACACACACAAACACACACATACACAGTTGATAAAATATCACTGAATCATAAGCCTTTTGGTTTGGGTAACAGTTTAAAAAAATTCATGATGTTCACACTCCTGTGATGAATATGAAGAAATCACTAATATAGTCCATGCTAATGAGGTCACAGTGATGAGCCTCATCCCTACATGGGTTACACTCTTCTACTTATATACTACTGAGAACATTATTTAAAGTACCTGCCCCTATTTGGGCACTTTACGTAAGTTCTTTTCTATTAGGAGAGAAACCTAGGCAGTCTTAGGACCAATTGCGCTTAGCTCTAGCTGATTTCCTTCAATGGAGAAGTGTGTTCTTTTCTACACTGAACTGAAGAGCTAAAGGAATTAAAATCAGGTGAATTATATAAATTAAAGCCATTTCACTTTTACTATTGCCTGATGTTCTGTAACAGAAGTCAGCAAACTTTTTCTGCAAAGGGGCAGATAGTAATTATTTTAAGCTTTGCGAGTCATATAGTCTCTATCACAACTACACAGCTCTGTCATACTGCAAAAGTAGCCACAGACAATGCAGAAATAAATGGGCTCCAACAGAACTTTATTTATAAAAACAGGCAAAGGGGGATTTGGTTCCTGTGCCACAGTTTCCTGACTCCTAATCTACAGCTTATCTACACAAAGAAGTATAAAACAAAAATCATTTACCTGATTTTCTAAGTAATGTATGAAATTCTAACATCAATTTATGAGATGGTACAATCTGATACAAAATCTGGAGGAAAGAACAGTCTTGTTATTTTTACACACTTATAAAAGCATTTTTCAAATTTTAGTTTCCTTTCAAATAAAGTTCTTATTGTCTAATATGCTTTCAGTAAATGAATTAAGTATTTAAAAAATACTTTGCTTTTTATCCAGTTTCATTCTAGGTATAGAAAAGCTTTCTCTGTAAGGCTATTTTTTTAAAAAAAAATCCCTAATAACAAGATAGTCAGGAGAAGTGGGGGAAACAGATGGGGACTTTTTATTTGCTCCAAATATACATCTATACTGTTTACGCCCTGCTTAAAAACTTAAAATAATCTTCTCAGAAGCCAAGAGAGAGAAAAAAAATAAAGAAAAAAATCAATATCACATAAAATATATTATTCACTGATCAGAACACGGAATATTTATATAAAACAAAAAATCCAAAAAGGCAGGGGAGGCGATTTTACACACTGTGCTCAGGAACACAGTATACTAAGAGTATTTGAGTAAATATTTTAACCACCTTTTTATGCAATGAAATATTTAAAGGTTTTTCTTTTTAAGAATAATAAGGACTATTTTTATGAATATTCAAAAAACAGGATTTAAAGTAAACCTATATTTTTCATTTTAACACATTTGATTCTAGAAATGAATTCATTCTGTAGGCTTCCTGAGGTACTCTGACTTTACACTGAAATAATTTCCAATAAAAGTAAAAGTAAATTTTTAAAATTTCTCTTCATAGTTTTTTAAAAAAGTCAGTCCTGACCAATATACCAGTATCAGAGAATATCATGGCAACCAGGTTCCTATGAAAGTCACATTTGTCTCATAATATATAGAATTCTGTGTATGGCTTGATTCACTTAGACTTTTAAAAAACTTTTTATTGAAATATAACACATGTACTAGAAATGTATACAAATCATAAGTGTGACATTCAATCAATTTTCACAAAGTTAAACACACTCACATAACCAGCAACCAGATCAAACAACAGATCATTACCAGTACTCCAGCCATTAAGCTCTTAAGCCATTACACTCGTCAAATATTAGAGTTTTTAAAAAATGTGTTTGTTTGCTTTTGCCCTGTTCTCTCTGTCCTCTCCCTAGGACTCCAACTATGGCAGACCCTTTCACCAAGTTCTTTGTATACTCTTTTCTGCACTTCTCAGCCTTTTTGCTCTCTGTACTTTAGCCTGATGATTTCTATGCAGTTGATTAATCCTCTCTTCTGCTATGTCCAATCTGCTATTAAACCTATCGAGTTCTTAATTCCAAATACTGTATTATTTTTTTTTTTCTTTTTTTGAGACAGAGTCTCACTCTGTTGCCCTGGCTAGAGTGAGTGCTGTGGCGTCAGCCTAGCTCACAGCAACCTCAAACTCCTGGGCTCAAGCAATCCTTCTGCCTCAGCCTCCCGAGTAGCTGG